CGGTGGCTCAGTTTCTCTGCCTCCTGAATTCTGATGGACTGATACATCTGACAGTACTTGAGATTTTTGACATTAATATCAATAATTAGACATGTTGTGTCAGTTCCAAAATATTTTTTGTGAGTTTTGTAAATATTGTTAAATATAATAAATATAATCTAGAAAAGTGTGATGTTGTGTTTATCTCATTTGCTTTGTTTTTGAATTGTATTATGTATATATCAGGAGTGTATGAGCCATTGGTTGCTCTGTTCTCTAGATAGCGATACAACAGAATACAATGTTCAAAGAATCCAGTTTATAAGTGTTTTAAAAACTTTTATGCAAACGTTATGGAAACATTCCATTTTATCATTTTGAAAACATTATGTAAGCGTTACTTTTGAATGTTCTATGAACGTTCAGAAAGAAATAGTAGCATTTAAAAAAAGTTACACCGTGTCCTAACCAGATACATCGCAATGCTGTGACAAACGATAAAAGGTATATTTTCCATGTTCATCAGAGTTTTTGTCCTAACCAGCCACAACAGCAACATGCAACAAGTGACAGGGGATTCTATTTTAGAAACAGTTTCTATTGCTGAGACGTGGCTGTTGCAACAACGGTACCCTAACTATAACGATGATGATGTCAAATACTGATTGTGTGCTTTATTCATTTGTTAAAATGGTTTAATGTTAGTTTAATTGGGTTTGTTAGACATCCAACTAAAATGTTTCAGAAAAAAAAAGTTCCATGAACGATGTGCAAAAAGTTTTTGTGCAACCATTTTAAGAACATTATTAAAGAACAGAGAACGTTGAATAAACGTTCAGTTAATGTTACTGGAAGAACATTGTTCATAACTTGGAGAGAGCCTTGCCACAACGTTAGCCAAACTTCTGATAACATTCTCTTTTTTTTATATTTTATATTTTTATATTGTATTTGGATGGGTAATCGATGACTTAAAGTTAATAGTATTTTATTGTTAATGGTATTTTATTTTATCTTCTTGTTTTTTTTTAAATGTTTTGTGGGGTGACTTAGTATTTGCAATTTTGGTTTGAGCATTAAGTCTGAGCACTATTTTGTACTATACCAGTTCTTCACACAAACTCATAAAAGTACAAAGTCTTTTCTTTACACACACACACACACACACACAGTTCCAGCTTACTCCTGTGACAAAATATCACTGCTCGCCTCTTCCCCTTGACATTTACTCCCACCTAATTAAATCTTTGACCTCCTGCCCTTGATGTAGCGCCACAGGCTGTGTTCCATTACACACTCTCCATATGACAGAGGGAGCGTGAGGTAATTGGCAGTGCCACCCTGTGCCACCAGAGTCACTCTCACACTCATTAATCACTGCAGGACATTGTTTGTGTTGCTCTGGCAACCTCTGGCTCGCCTGTTTAACAGACGTCCACTGACTTCTGCCCCATCAGTTACTCTCCCTCGTTTTCGGTCTTTATATTACACATTTTCTTCTTTTGACCCAAATTAATGTTGATTATAGTGCATTTAAAGGGGTAGTTCAGCTAAAAATGAAAATATAATTTACTCTCATGTCATTTTAAACCTGTATGAATTTTTGTGCTCTACGGAGAAAAAGGCACTGGTTGATTTCTTTACATGCAATTAAAATAAATGGGAACTGGGGGTTTCAAGTCCCCCAAAAAATTCCCATTTATTTAAATTGCCTTTCAAGTAGTAAGCACGTGTATCAGGGAAATCACAGCACTGAACAGTGTTGGGCAGTAACGCATTACTTAGTAACGCGTTACTGTAATTTGATAACTTTTTTTAGTAACGGAGTAATTTAACGCGTTATAATTTTCAAAATAGTAATTAGAGTATAGTTACAAGGTGAAGTCTCTATATGTTACTGCTGCGTTACATTGCTGACAGAATGCAGTGTTTTATAATCTGATTGTAGCTCACGCCCTGTCGAGTCAAGTGCGAGTGGATTAGAGACCTGACCCCGCGAGACCCCACGGGGCGAGAAGATGGGCGAGTGCGGGTGCGAGCGGGTAGACACTTGTGTGTGTGTGTGTGTGTGTGTGTGTGTGTGTGTGTGTGTGCGGGATGCGGGAGGATAAAATGATTCACGGGACTCCCGCAAAATAGAAATATCTAAACATAAAATACAGCTATCGTGCCGCCGTCGGAAATGTCCTGTTCCCATGGCAACACAGCAGCCGTGGCGTCTCCAAGTAAGTTTGATGATATTTAAATATCTTATTGGCATTCCTTAAATGTCAAATGGTGAATAAATTAGCTCCCCTCATTATCGTTGTTGTCCAATTGTCTGATGTTTCTTCACTAACTTTATGTCTGTGAGCTCCTGCCTGTTGCTAAACGGGGGGGATGGAGTGTTTTTCGAGGCTTCAATTCTGACTGGCATGAGTGGAGGTTTGTTAAAAGGAATAGTTCACCCAAAAATTAAAATTCAAACTGTTGATGGTAGCCTGTTGATTGTCTTCCGTAGTATGGAAAAAAGTGCTATGGAAGTCGATGGCTACCGTAAAATGTTTGGTCACCAACATTCTTCAAAATCTCTTCTTTTGTGTTCTACAGAAGAAAGAATCATTTCATTTTTGGGTAAACTATCCCTTTAACAGGAATTACCTCAATTACCTCTGTCTTTGGCTTGAATGAGACCATGGATGCTTCGGTCCAGAAAGGACCCAGATCTTGACTGGTCTTTCACACACTGGACAAATCACGTCAGCACACATCAGACTGACCCTTTTTACTGGTCTTATTGTCACTTATTCATCAATAGCCTTCAGAAGTTTAGGGTGACTAAGATAAGTTTTTTTTAGTGTTTTGAAAAAAGCTCACCAAGGATGCATTTATTTAATCAATAATACAGTAAAAAAAAAAAGTAATATTGTGAAATATTATTACAATTGAAAATAGTTTTTTTTCTATTTGAATTGTTTTTTATGTACTTTATTCCTGTGATTTTCAGTATCATTACTCCAGTCTTCAGTGTCACATGATCCTTCAGAAATCATTCTAATATTCTGATTTGCTGCTCAAGAAACATTTCTTATTATTATCAATGTTGAAAATAGTTGTGCTACTTCATATTTTGCCGGAAATAATTAGAAAAAAAAGTCTGAGCACTATTTTGTACTATACCAGTTCTTCACACAAACTCATAAAAGTACAAAGTCTTTTCTTTACACACACACACACACACACACAGTTCCAGCTTACTCCTGTGACAAAATATCACTGCTCGCCTCTTCCCCTTGACATTTACTCCCACCTAATTAAATCTTTGACCTCCTGCCCTTGATGTAGCGCCACAGGCTGTGTTCCATTACACACTCTCCATATGACAGAGGGAGCGTGAGGTAATTGGCAGTGCCACCCTGTGCCACCAGAGTCACTCTCACACTCATTAATCACTGCAGGACATTGTTTGTGTTGCTCTGGCAACCTCTGGCTCGCCTGTTTAACAGACGTCCACTGACTTCTGCCCCATCAGTTACTCTCCCTCGTTTTCGGTCTTTATATTACACATTTTCTTCTTTTGACCCAAATTAATGTTGATTATAGTGCATTTAAAGGGGTAGTTCAGCTAAAAATGAAAATATAATTTACTCTCATGTCATTTTAAACCTGTATGAATTTTTGTCCTCTACGGAGAAAAAGGCACTGGTTGATTTCTTTCCATGCAATTAAAATAAATGGGAACTGGGGGTTTCAAGTCCCCCAAAAAATTCCCATTTATTTAAATTGCCTTTCAAGTAGTAAGCACGTGTATCAGGGAAATCACAGCACTGAACAGTGTTGGGCAGTAACGCATTACTTAGTAACGCGTTACTGTAATTTGATAACTTTTTTTAGTAACGGAGTAATTTAACGCGTTATAATTTTCAAAATAGTAATTAGAGTATAGTTACAAGGTGAAGTCTCTATATGTTACTGCTGCGTTACATTGCTGACAGAATGCAGTGTTTTATAATCTAGAGATTGTAGCTCACGCACTGTCGAGTCAAGTGCCAGTGGATTAGAGACCTGATCCCGCGAGACCCGACGGGGCGAGAAGATGGGCGAGTGCTGGTGCGAGCGGGAACGCCATTACTTTTAAAAGGAATAATCAGTAATTTGATTACATTTTCAGAGTAACTTGGCCAACACTGACACTGAATATGGCAAATGAGTTAAAAGAGCCAATCACCTCATTGATAAAAGCAACATCTCATTGCTTTTCTCTAAAATATACTTGCACTTTAGCTGTACCGACCTGAGAAATTGAATTTTTGTTGTTCTTAAAATAAAAACGCTAAATTATATGAATACAACTAATATGCTATTGTGTTTAATGTTTCTATATATATATATATATATATATATAATACATGAAACATGATTTTATACAACAAACCAAACTTTTTTTTCAGTTAGGTTTTGAAGGCCACATTCATATATTCACATTCACATTCATATATTCAGATAAAGCAGCAGTGTCGTGTATCTGCATGTAGGGTCTTCCAAAGGCCACATATGAGACTGTACTCCCCTGCACCCTTGAGAGTACTCGCCTCAAGAGCTCTGCCCTCCAGAGGGAGCAAGGCACGGTCCTTGAAGCTCACTTTCAAGTGGAATTTGCCCTTTTTTCTCAGTGTTTTAGATCCAAACACATCTGAAGAGACTAATTAAAAGCACTGCAGCACACCTGCGTCAGGACGAGGCCCATAAAAAGCTCTGTATTTTTATCCTGATTAATCTAGTGGTATGTGTTGTGCTGACACCTCATTTGAGAATATTTATGCATGCAGATCCCACATAGAGATGGAAATGAATTCTGCCTCAGATCAAGAAATAGACACATTACTGTGTGTACACACTCACGTATGTCTCTTTTAAAGCACTATGAGAGACTACCTGTATAAAAAATGTATTGGACAATAAGTGTGACGTGTAACTCGTCTCTCATGGTTTGTGCTACAAACATGCCTGATATCTCAAATAGTGTGGCTTGCCAAGGAGAGGTGTGCAGGTGCTTTTCTGAGCAATCAGATGTGCAATTTCTGCCTGGCGGACAGTAAAATAACCCCATAGGGATGGTCTTGAGCTGTATCAATGGACCAGAATATCAATAGATAGACAGACATGGAGATGAGCTATTTTGGCCATTACCCTGAACATCACTGCAACATCCTAGCAATGGTGGCACAACTTTTGCAACCTGAATGACACTGGGTCAAAGTGCTCTGCTCTAGGGCTAATTATTTTTTTTGTTACTTCAATCAGTCTTTAATGCATGTTTGCATCTATGTATCTTTTTTATATATACATTTTTGCTTTATTTATTCAGTCATTTATTTATTTATTTATTTTAAAGGGGTCATCGGATGCAAAATTCACTTTTGTTGTTGTTTGAACATAAATGTGTGTTGGAAGTGTGTGTACACACCCACCCTATAATGAGAAAAATCCACCCAGTTGTTTTGTTTTTTTATTCCTATTTTAAAATCCCCTTTCTCAAATCAGGCTGTTCTGAGATTCCTGTCAGAATGACGTAGTTCTGTACAGGCCCCTCCCACGATAGTTGATTGACAGTAGAGCTTCAGCACAGACTGGACTGGTGTCTTACCTTAGACCCGCCCTGAGTGAGCTGTCATCAGTGTGCCATTGTGTTGACTCTGGTGCAGGGGAAGACAAGATGTCTCCGATTAAGTGATTGAGTTGTTTTGTTGTTGGATTTAATAATGAATATAGCAGTCGTCATTTACTCCCGACATCTGAGCTGCTGAAGACGCAGAGGATTAACGTTACTTTTGTTTTGAAGTGAATGCGCCGATCCCCAATCTGCCTAAATGCATCTATGTTTGCGCGAATCATTCGTGATCCAGCTTCAGCTACAGTAGAAGTGAGTATAAGGGTTTTTTTATGAATCTTTGCAAATCGCCTTTCCTAATAACGTGCTAGTTAGCAAGTTCCATGGCTAAAGTAAACAGTATCATGAGAATGGCTCGTCACCCACGGAAAAGAGGGGCGGGGTCAGCAGAGCTCATTAGTATTTAAAGCAACCACGTGCTGAAAACAGAGCTGATTTTGACAGGGTAAAAAGGGTGTTTTTTACACCACCATTGAGAAATTTTAACCAAAGTATGTTACAGACTTTTCATTAAGACCCTAAAGAATCATATCAACTTGTGGAAAATGGGCATCCGATGACCCCTTTAACAAACTTTTTAAATTTTTAATTTAATATTTATTTAAATTTTTTATTTATTAATTAATTAATTCATTTGTTCATTACAATGTTTTATCTTTGTTCATATTTTGTTTCTTTTATAAATTTTAGTTAGTTTGTTCATTTGATGTTTCTTTCATTTTGTTGGTTCATTCATTCATTCATTCATTCTTTATAAGAAATTAACAGCAGCCACCCACAATACCCTAGCAATCTATTTATATTTATTTTTCTTTTCTTTTTATGTATTTTTCTTTTTTCTTTTTATTTATTATATTTATTGAATCTTTATTTTATATTTTTATTTGTATTTTCTTATTAACGTTTAATCTTATTGAATTTTTATTTTTATTTATTTATTCCAATATTTTGTGGTTTTTCATTTGTTTGTTTTTTTAAATAAATTTTTGTTAGTTTGTTCATTTGATCTTCCTTTTTTTTTTGCTCATTCATTCACTTGTTCATTCGTGCAGTCGTTCAGTCTTACTATTTATCAAAATTCAACACCCTAGCAACCACCCACAACACCCTAGCAACCATCTAGAACACCCTAGGAATCATGGCACGACTTTCGCATGTGTTAATGTTGGCCATAATAACCTGCGTGACTCCAGGTCAAAGTGCTCTGCTCTAGGGTTAAAGGTCATATTGTTCTCTCATTTCCTCCAAAATCAGACGGACAGCTGTGGACAAAACAGATCAGCAACACTGGAATTGATAAAACAGAAAGACGGGGGTGAATGAATAAATAAACAGGCATTTTGTGTCTTCAGCATATTCATTGAGTTTATGTAAGTCAGCGCATGGGGTTTGTTGTCTGGAGAACACCGACCACGGTCTTGCACCATGTTTGCCGGACATTTTTAAATCTGATGCAATATCTGGCAACCCAAACCACCTTTCTTTCACGCATATCACACACACACTGATATTATTGTTATTTTTGTGCATTCCACACACCTTCAGTGCCAGACTGAAAACCGTCAGACCGAGTGAATCGCTGGCAGAACTCGATTAGCGATTAGAGATTAACGATGTTCAAATAAATGCTACGCAAAAAAATAACAAACGTCAATCTGTTTGGCTAGATCTGCACAGTTTCTGAGAGTAAGGATGGACAGGTTTTTTTTTTTTTTGCTGGATTTGACAGTTTACAAGGTTCATAATGTTTGTGAATCCAGCACATTGTAGAATGAGCCTCATTTGCATGGATTTGCCTAATGAAGAATGACCTATTTAAATATGCATGTTGCAGCACTGGTAAAGTGCATATGCAGCTAGTTTTGTTGGACATTGTACTGTTGAGTATCAAATATGTTCAGATTAATCTTCACTTTCAGTGTTATTTGTCACTGGAAACTTGGCCTTGTAGACCATTCAAGACGAACTGTCAGTATGAACATGAGTTCAGTAGTAAAACATGATTCCAGTGCAGTTATTGTTTTTTTATTTTTTTTTATTAAGAAGCTTTTGCTGACATCAGCGATTTGAGGTGCACTGATGTTAGTTTTACTCATTCTGTGGCAAAACAGAGTTTCATAAATGTTCATATTTCTAGAAATACAGTTTCTCTAGCGGCCTTTATCTGTGCAGTCTGTTCATCCACAGCAGTTTAGTGGAGCTTGTTTAGCAGCACCCTGTCACCGAGGGGGCGGGGCTTAGGAGTAACACCTTCTGATTGGTGCTTACTAATGAGTCGTAGCCTATTAGGAACACCATTTGATTGGTGCTGACTGAAGGTCTACAAAGAACACCTGATTGGTGCTCAGTTCTACCCCTTTTTCTTTCTTTCTTTCTTTCTTTCTTTCTTTCTT